CAAGTATCCCAAATATATCTCCAACACAAAGAAAGCAGAGACTTTGTTTTCAGAAGCCTTTCTACAGGTAAAAGCAACACACGTATCATGCTCTCGACCTACTAGATACTAGTACTTATCCACCATGTCATCCTTATTATGTGCTACCTTTCGTACCCTCTCCAACTACTCATATACTGCATTGTTGTGGTTTCGTATACCCATTGGACAAAGCACATCATGCATTACACTAAGCCCTCTCACAAGACGATCCATGCTGGCTTGTAGCTCTATTAGTTGTGTCCCGTATTTCGTAAAGTGTGTGCTTGCCAGGTCTGCAGCTCCATTTGCCAAGGCAATGCCAATCTTTTAAATGGCTAGTAGACTCACAATCTCCTCCATTATTTTATGAGAATTCCTAATTTCTCACTGTTGGGTGGTCGCCTAGTTGTATATTTTAGTCAATATCAATAGAATGACCACTACAAGATGAAGTTAGTGATATATAAGTTAATCTGTTAGTGCAGTCTGCTAGGACCAAGCACTTGTCAAAACACTTCAACATTATCAACACAACTAAAATGCTCAATAAGCAGAATATGTCTGATAAATCCTCTGAGACTCTTATTAGTTCTTGTTTACAGATCTAGCTCTCTAACCCACGCAATCAAACAAACAAGTATTTACAACAGGCCGATCCATGAGAAATATAAAACACTCGAGACTGTGCAATAGTCCCCTGCGACAAACTTAGTGTTATTTGCTAACAAGCACGAGTGACCTTATACCAAATGACTGATTGTGCAGACCCTCTTCCGTATAGGGGTATCTCAGCTTAAAATGGCCCAATTGTTGAAATTTCAACCAACTAAGGTAAAAGAGGGAAGCAATCTGATATACATGCTAGCTCGCCGATATGAATATTGTACTTCCATTGACTAGTGTGACCTTTTCAAATAACTTAGTTCCATATCTCAACATCTATTGAATAATATCTCCACATTAACCGAAAGAAAAATGGCTAGAGTTGTGTCATTAAGCTGCAAGAAATATGTTTGGCAATCAAGAAAATAAATAACGAAGCAAAGCAATAATGTCATAGGATCATATTTTCCTATGACAAATGTGACAGTTCTAGGTAACTTAGTTCCATATTTTTTCTTCAATATCCATGTAATTATATCTTGATATATGTATACAAACAAATTGATAGAATTGACAACATGCGAGGTTTTTGTTAGAACTATAGGAGGTTCTTCTAAGTACAACCTAGGATAGCCGAAAAAACTATCTAGGGAAGGACCATGCATCGACCTCATAATAATTTGACACAATCTATCTTGATTAACCTCCTTGTGCAATTTGAATTTGGATTCATCAGAACAGCCTTCTAAAAGAAATCTCATGTCTTGGCTGGTATTGTTGCATTGAAACTTGCTCATTGAGATCATGAACTCTCATGGAGCCATGGGTATCATTCAGATTGACTTTTAGAGTGTGCAAGATGGTTATTGATGATAAATAGAGGGATATAACAACCGCATTGGCATTCTTCGGCTGCGAGCTGGCTCGGTGGGTGTCGTTTTGAGATGATGTGCAGATGAGGTGGTGTCGGGAGCTTGCGTGAAAACCCTGTCCCTGTCGTGGTCATGGCGGTGACCAGTGATAACGGCGGCCGTACCTTCTTGGAGGCATATTTGTATTGTTGCCGCACCCCTCCGGGCCCACTCGGATCATTGTAGCTCTGATGAAAACCCTTGATCCTACTTGATCAGATGATGGCGGCGACTTGGTGATGTATTCCCATCTAGGGCCTTTGCCTTTGCGTGGGTTGGGTCGGCGATCGCCTATGGCGAAGTCGGCTTCGTTTGCTCGGAGTTTAGGGGACACATCTAGGGGTGGAGTGATGACGATTACCCATGCGTGTTGTCTCGACGTGGCCCTTTTTGGAGTGGTGTGCATGGGGTAACTTATGTGTGCCGATCGGCGGTTCTGATAGTTTTCGGCCGGTTCTCCATAATTAACTTGGCAATCTGGCTTTTGCTCGGTTTTCCCCAATTAACAAAGCAACTCTTTTCTTCTTAGTGAATGCAGGAATGCTGCCATTTCGAAAGAAAAACAAGTAGCTGGATATTTGATCCTCAACTTGAGGAGCCCTCCTTCCTTTTACCCATCAAAGCCAGAGAACCACCACTTGTAATGGCAAGGAAAATTGCTCATTCTTTTTTGCGTCGACCCTACTAGGATATTTACACGAGAACTATCTAGGAACGCACCTGGCTTGTAATCCTTCCAGATCCAGATCATATTAGGTGAAAGTGAAAGCCTCTTCCTTGTGCGCTTCAGGATCCAAAATCACCAAAACGGTGTCATGGTTTTCTTGAGAGTATGGAATACTAATCTTGTTGAATCCGTCTCAAGAGGCAGAGCTGATGTCAAAGTCAATGCTAGCTAGTCTTTCTTGTGTGGCTGGAATTACTTCTAGAACAACCACATTAGCCAACTATTTAGATGTAGAATATTCATACCCATCAAAACCAGGTGAGAGTGGGGGCACGGCAGTCTTGTTGAAGCCAGTGCGAACCAGTCAGAGAACCTGCAAGTCAAGTCAATGCTAGTCTTCATGTGGTCGTGGTTGTGCTCGAAGTTCCGATTATTTTCCAACATGATGCGTTGTCTGAAAGCAATGTGCATGTGTGAATATTCAATCGCTTCAACGTTCAAGGACCCCACGTTGAACCACTTCCACAATCAGTCGTTGTGCACAGTATTCAGTATCCTACTCGAAGCATAACCATACGCTGTTTGACGTTTCCCTTGGGGATCTGCGACTCTGCATTCAGAAATTCTGAAGCATTGGAAATGACTATGGATGGCAATTTGTATTTCAGTTTAAGCAAATGTTGGTGAAAAGCTTACATGGGTTTTTGGAACACTCCATACAGTGGTGTGCTGTGTCAGAAGCCTGGAAGCCTACAAGGATTTTCCAAACACCCACCGTTAATAAGTAACAATAAAGTTGTATTCAGATAAGCCTGAGCAGTACAGTAGCTAACCCGTCAGCAGCAATTTAAGCTACTATTATGGATACTGAGAGGAAAAGGAAGTTATTTTGACAGAGCATCCATCAACCCGGTGGAACTAACTATACTACCAGCATGTTTTCTTGTTCATTTACTTTCGATAATTCCGGCTACAAAGCACCTGTGATACTCACAAGTATGGTGGAAATCTCAGTTTAGAACGTACTCAAACTTTTCTGGCCCGACTTCAGTTAATTTGGAGCGACTGAAATTCAGTGTTGATTTTCCATAGGAGAAACATGATGTCCACTTACTTCAGAATTCCAATTGGACAGCTAGTTCATGCTGACACAAGATATGTTTGCTGGCAACTTGGGAACAAATTATGTACAGACGCATGGAAAGTATAAATACTAACAAAACGGAAAGAGAAATGAAGAAGAAGTAAGCAGAGGTTAAGATCCTAATGCTGTAGCGCTGCTCTGTATGAGAAGCCTTTCGGTCTGCTATACACGAGTTTTGTGCTTGCTGGCTGTGGAGCAGCCTGGGAATGTTCAGAGATATTCGGTAGTATGTCCATTCCTTTATTTCTCTTCACGTTCATTTTGTTGGCTTCGGCTAACTCTTCTGTAAAAACTCTTGATTTCATCAATGAAATTGGAGGAATACCCTTTGCTAAAAAAGAAAGCAGAGGCTAAGCTACAATGATGCATAATGTGGGCTCCGAAACTTTTCTATCAATCAATGTATTGCAAATAAAGGACGTAATCCCGAAAGGAAACAGCAGCAACAAAGAAGTTGCAACAGCAGCAACCAAAGACAGCAACCGTATGACAATGAGAATGAATACCTGAGCATTATTGATTTTTCTTTTACGAAATGTAGCAGCGCTACGTTTCATTCATTTTGAGGAGGAACTGGCAAAGCCAGGAAATTACAAGGGAATGCAAGGTAGAGAATAAACATATCACATCACCTAACACAATGAAAAAGAAAAGAGAAAATTGCGCTGAAGCGACAACAGGGCAAGGGCCAAAAAGAAAGAAGAAACGGAGAACCATCATTTTCCACCGGCCTCGACACTGGGGGGCTGCACGAGAAACATCACCACCGTAGACAAAGAGCTCCAATCAGCCGAGACCAAACCCAAGCTATTGGCGCAGTCAAAGGGCAAGGAGCACCGAGTCCACACCAAGAAGAAGGGCCACACGCAGCAGAGGCTACAACACAACAACGACATCATCGGTCAAAGTGCAGCAAGGAGCCGATTCCACACCCACCACCGTGATAGCATAAGGGAAACTCCGGTACCTACAGACCACACCAGGAGACAACAGCAACAGAGAAGAAGCAGGGCATCCACACCACCACATACAAACCACTCGTCCCTAGACGCTGCATTATTGAATCACAAGCCAATTCTCTGAAGATGAATATCTGAGCTGAGGATTATAAATCACAAGCCAATACTTTTGTTTAACAGACACAACTGAAATATGCGAGATCATACATAGTTCCCAACTAGCACACGCGAAAAAGTCTGAAAATGGAAACACGACTCAAGTCTGTCTTACAATATGCGCACACAAATAGCAGTACATACGTAAAGTAGTTTGAATGTGGAAACACAAATCGCTCGCAGTCAGTCTCACAATAAGTGTCATCTTATTATCACACGGAGCTGATAAGCACACGATGACACGAACATAGTAGCAGCAGAAGTGAAGCACTGTGGTGGAGACGTGAGATAGTACATTTGAAGCACTATATAGAAGATTAGCAGCAGCACTGTGTTGTGCACATTGAGTGTGATGCATCAGCGCCTTAACTCGTGGTGAAGCCTCTTCCTTCCTTCCTACCTTCCGGCATGTGACCTGCATATAACCAACACCAAATCATTTCAACATGTCAAGGTAGTACGATTAGAGATGGGGAAGGAAGCAAGTAATGCATGCATGGTACACCTAGTTGGCAGGTGATTGGGAGTAGAGTAGCAGGTCAATCTCGGAGGGAATACTTCGCCCGTGACAGTATCCCTTGGATTGTAGAACACTGGCGCAGGGATGTCAAGAAGTCTCTGCTGATCTCGTGAAAGCCTAGATACTTGATGGATGTGAGGAACTCAATGCCAGCCGGCACCTCCGTCATGCTGCCGAGGTTGACTAAGTATAGTTCCTCCAGGCTCGCCATGGCACCTTGCTGTATCTCTAGCCGACTCAGACTAAGCAAGTCTCCTAGAGAGAGAACCTTCAGCTTGGGAAACCACCCCGTGAGAAATGCCAGCTGCTCTCCATTGTATGCTCTGGTGAAGTGTAGATACGTCAAGTTTGACAACCGAGAAAGGGATGGTAGGGGGTCTTCTCTCAGCTGTGACCAAGATAGATACAATACATACAAGTTCTGTCCCTCTACAGCTTGGAATAGAGGAGACTCGTCCAACGCCCCTTCTGCTAGTCGTCCTCTCAAACATAGCCTTTGCAGGCTTGGCAGAAGGACATTCAACAAGAGAACCTCATTCTCATTACTTGCATTCACTTCTAGGTAGGACAAATACTGCATCTTAACTAGAGACTCACTGATACTTCTACAGTAGATTCCTTTCACATTCAATAACCTCAAGCTTCTCACTTGCCTCAGCTCCCCTAAATGTCTAACAGACTCATCCTGTAATTCCAATGCTTGTAGCGTCTGAAGGTTTATTATATTTCCAAGTCCATTGGGGATACGCACACCACTGCAACTTGCAAGCTCTCTCCAGTCTGAATCAATTGTTTTCTGAGCAAATAGGTGCCTAAGCTTCTTCAGTTTCACAATCCCACTAGGCAACTCTTGTATGTCAGATTCATAAAGGTCGAGTGTCAACAGATTTGAAAGATTCTCAATTGTCTTCGGGAGCATCTTCACCTTTGAACCCCGCAAACCCAAATGGCGGAGATTAAAAAGATCCCCAATAGCATCTGGAATCTTCTCAATGGGCAGACCACTTAATTCTAGCACTGTCATATATCTTGACTCATTACACAGAAGAGGTAGCAGAGTGAATGATGACTTGCTATCACCGAGCGTAATGATAGTTCGAAGGTGGTGCATATTGGAAACTGGTTGTTGAATATCATCTTTTTGTTTGTGCAGTACTAATCGACGTCCATCCTTCTGATGAGACCGTCCACATTTATTCTCATATGCAACACCAAAACAGTTCTTCTGGCACAAATCAACTGCCAATTCACGTAAGATATCATGCATTCTGAATTCCTTCATCCTACCGAAGTGGTTCCTTGTAACAAGTTGTAGCATGTTTCTGTCAATCAACTCCTTCAGATAGCCTTCTGCCACATCTTCTAGTGTGCTTTCACCCCTCTCCTCGATGAACCCCTCGGCTACCAATAACCGTACAAGTTGTTTCCTTTTGAAAAGATAGTCTTCCGAAAATAAGCTGCAGTATAAGAAACAACATTTCAAGCGTGTTGGAAGGTATATGAAGCTCAGATGCAAAACATTCCTTATATCACTGAGACTTGAATTATTAATTAGCTCCCAACTCAATTGGGCATTTATTCTTCTCCATTCTTCCACACTTTTCTCACGCACACGCAAGAGGCTACCAACTAACACAATAACAAGAGGCAAGCCTTTGCACTTGCTAACTATTTCCTCAGACAAATGCTTCAACTCCGTAGGACATTCATGACTTGTATCTCTTGGAAAGGCTTTCTTACAGAAGAGATCCCATGCCTTGTCTTCAGGTAAAGCTGGCAGTGTTAAGATATGTCCTTGAGAGGCAAGTGCAGCAACACGGCTTTCCCTTGTTGTGATTACCAGTCGACTACCCATATCATTATGAATAAGCACGCTAGACAAATCATTAAATGCTTCAGGAGTCCAAACATCATCCAGAATGATCAAATACTTTTGTTGTTCCAGAAATGTCTTAATTGTCTCTTCAAGACGTGGGATGTCCATGTCCGTAGTGTTAGATAGAACACTGACTTTACCTCTTGAAAGTTCCTTGATTATATTCCTCAAGACAGCTTCTCTAGAATAAGTTTGAGAGATGGAGACCCACGCATGGCATTGGAATTTCTCCCTCTCCTTCCTGTAGACATTTGCAGCTAAAGCTGTTTTACCAAGCCCTCCCATTCCAAGCAGCGCTATCACAGAGCGTTCCAAGTGATCACCTGCCAACCACTTCTGAAGTGTTTCACTGTTCTCATCGACCCCCACTAGATCTTCATCAAGGGAACGTGAAATGTTCGCTAGATCTTGGGACCTCTTAACAATGTAGTCTGAGCTACTAGTATCCCCATTGTTCACGGGAACCCAACGGTTTTTTGTCTCTGACAGGTGTGTAAGGTCTTCCTCTATCTGCTTCACCTTGATAGCTATCCGGTTCAAAGAAAGTAGAGATCTTGGTTTTCGGAACCCTTTCTTCAGGTAAAAGCAACACCCTATATCATTCTCCTGACCAACTAGATACAAGTACTCATCCACCATGTCCTCCGTATTATATGCTACCTTCCGTACCCCCTCCAGCCAGCTCTCATAGACTGCGTTGTTGAGGTTTCGTATGTCCATTTGACAGAGAACATCATGCATTACACTAAGCTCCCTCACAAGACGATCCATGCTGGCTTGTAGCTCTAGTAGTTGTGTCCCATACTTCGCAAATTGTGTGCTTGCCTGGTCTGCTACTCCATTTGCCAAGGCAGTGCCAATCTTTTTAATGGCTAGTAGAATCACAATCTCCGCCATTACTTTCTGAGAATTTCTAATGTCTCACTGTTGATTGGTCGCCTAGTTGTATATTTTCCTCAATGTAATTCGAACGAACACTGCAAAATGAAGTGAATGATGTATTAGTTAAACCATGAGCGTATCCTACTAGTACCAAGCACTTGCCAAAACACTTCAAAACTCTCCAGCCACAATGATGAAATTAAATAAGAAGAAAATTTTCACGAAATCCTCCTAAACTCTTATTAGTTATTGATAACCTATCCAACTCCACCCAAACAATCAAACAAAACAGTACTTAAAATAGGCAGGTAAATGAGAAATTTAAAACACTTAAGATTGTGCAATAGTCCACTGCGGCAAACTTAATGATATTATCTTACTAGCACGGGTGACATTGTACCGAATGACCCACCATGCATGATCCGCTTCCATATAGGAACATCTGAGCTTGAAATGACCCAAATGTTGAAATTTGAACCAAGACAAGAAGGAAGCAAATCTGATATACATGCTAGCTCGCCAATATGAATATTCTACTATCAGATAGTTGGCTAATGTGACAGTTTCAGGTAACTTAGTTCCACGCTTCAATATCCATCTAATAATATCTCCAGATGTATGGAGTAAAAAATAGCCAGAGTTGTTTAATTAAGCCTATCATGTCATAAGAATCATGAGGAGAAATCAATATATTATATCCTTATTAAAATACTTCAACTAATAGGAGCCATCATGTTCACTTTAGGAGATCCTCACCCAACAAGATTTCGACTTTGGGAGGCTAGTATACAACCACTAACGAGCGTTATCAACAACTATGATTCTGTGATACAGAGTAATTAAGGTTATTTGTGAATCCAAGGGAAACAATGAGTGGCAACTAAAATAAAGTGTCCCCACAAATTAAGAAGCCCGTCCTTCTTCCAGAAGAAATTTTTATTGTGCTTAACGTGCTAGAAGAAATCGCCATGCAATATTCACAAAGTATACTAGGCTAGCCAACTTGAAAAGATACCGCAGAAGTGGATTTTGTTTGCACCCAGGAACATTGTTCTGAGTGCAACCTAACATTGCCAGAAAACTAGTGAAGGACGACGCACCTGCCTCGTAATAGCTTAGATCTGATCGATCTTGGTAACCTCCTTGTACACTTTTGAATCTGAAACCACCAGAACAGTCTTCTCCCAAAAGAAGAGACCTAGTGGCTTGCCTGGTCTTGTTGTCACTGAATCTTAATCATGGAGATCTTGAACTCTCATGAAGCCATGGGTATGACTGAGAGTGTGCTTGCTTCTTGTTGCTGACAAGTAGCTGGGTTCCATCTTCAAATTGAGGTGTCCTCTTTGTTCCTTTTACACATCAAAACCAAAGAACCACCATACCTGGCTTATAATGGCAAAGGAAAACTGCTTATTATTGCATCGACCTAGCTACCTAGGATATTGACAAGAGAAGCAGGAACACAACCAAACTAAAGGAAACACACCTGGATTGTAATCGGTGTAGATCCGGACAGCTTTCGACCTGTGGTGCGCTTCAGGATCTGAATCACAAAAACAGCGCCATGGCTTGGTGAGACACCAGCCTTGTTGAATAAGCAATCTCAAGAGGCAGCCAGTGAATCTAAGTCAAGTCAATGCTAGTCTTCTCATGGTTGAAGCTCAATTATTTTCCGACATGCTGCATTTTCTGAAACCACTGTGCATGTGTGCACATCCAATGCATTGAAGGTGTTTTAGCACTGTGATGGTACTGTTATTACCATAGAACTACCTAGGAAGAAAACCAAATTAAGGGGAACGCACCTGGCTTGTAATCGATGTAAATCCGGCCCGACTTGGACCTGTGGTGACCTCCTCGTTGTGCGCTTCAGATCTGAAAACACCAAAGCAGAGTCATGGCCTGGTGAGAGCAGAGAACGCAAGCTAGTCCTGTTGAAGTTGAAGCCATCCCAAAAAGAAGCCAGCTGAAGCTCCAAGTCAAGTCAGATGCTAGTCTTCTCGTGATGGATGAAGCTAAATTAATTTCCGACATGCTACATTATTTGTAATCATTGTGCCTGTGTTTACATCCAATTACTTCAACGTTTCATGGACCCCATGCATGAAAGGTGCTTCATGGCACGGTCTCTGTGCTCAGCAGTTCGTACCGTGGAATTCACAGTGATACTGAGACACAAAGCAATGCCTTCAAGACATCAACAGCCTACTCATGTGCAACTACTGCTCTTTAATGTGGCTCTCTCTATCTCAAACCGTTAGTGCATTGTGCTAGTAGCAAGCACTTGCCAAAACACTCCAACCACAATAGAAAAATAAATTTAGAAGAACCTTTCAAAGTAATCCTCCTACAATATTATTTCATACTGTTACCTATCTAACTCTAACCCACATAATCAAACAAAACCGTTCTTGCAACATGCACGTCTGTCAGAATTTTAAAACACTTAGCATTGTGCTATAGTCAACGGGAGCAAACTTCATGTTATTAGCTGATAAGAACGAGAGAACTTGACCAAATAAGTGACAATGCATACTCTGCTTCCCTAAGGGGCATAGAAGTTAAAATGCAAAAAGAAAAAAAATGTTGAAATTTTAACCAACTAAGACAGTGTGAACCAATCTACTTGCCAGGAAAGCTCGCCAATATGAATAATTCAAATTTCAGAGAGTTGGCTAATGTACAGCTCCATACTTTCCTCAACATATGGAGAAACAAATAGCTAGAGTTGTTGATTAAGTTGCAAGAAAGAAAGATGCATAGAATCAAGAAAATGAATAAAGAAAGAAATGTTATAATGTCATAAGAGTCATGAGGAGAAATCAATAAACCATAACCAAAGCAACTTTAGTTAAAAGGTATTTTAGGAGATCCTTAAACAACAAGAATGTATCTGGAACCTGCTGTAGACATGCTGTTAAGCCTGACAAAATGCTCATTGTTTTGGGGAAATAAATGTTCGGAAGCTGATGGAGCAGCTTCGAAGAAAAGTATCTTGGACTTCCAGTTCAGGAGGGTCGTGTTAAGGATGGAAAATTCCGGTTGGTAAAGGAGAGAAGCTGTAAATGTTTTTAAGATTAGTCTGACAAGTGATTATATAGGTGGGAAAGAGGTGTTGATAAGTCTGTAGTCCAGGCCATATCGACTTACGCCATGAGCGTATTAAAATTTTCAGCTGGATTGTTCTAGTGAGGCGAGGAAGGAGATAAGCGCCGTACTCACTGGCTCAGGTGAGAGAAGCGGATCAGGTGAGAGTAAGAATCACGGTGGAACTGCGTTCAGCAAACTATGCCTTTTTAACCAGGGTTTACTTGCGAGAGTAACCCTGTCTGCATGGAATTCAGTTAACTGGTGCATAAGTGCAGAGGAAGCCAAGGCTCTGACTTGTCTAAAAGAGGTGCATAAGGTGTAATCTACAATACCCCTGTGGTTGTGTGCAGAGCAACTGCAGCCCAGTAGTCAACGTGTTGGTGTACCAAGAGAAATCTTTCTGTGATCGGCTGCATTATAAAGGAAACAGGCTGTTACTCCAGGAGTTGCCCCAAGAAAACGGAGTAGCGCGCGAGCTAGAACAGTATGGTATTGGTAGGAAGGTGTTGTTTGGTGGTGTATTGCAGGGCTCGGTTCCAACCTGTGTGATTGTAATATCCAAAACTATACTTCCTAAATAACACACAACATCAGGTTCAAAGAAAAACAAGAATGTTGACTTTGCAAGGCTAGAAATCCCAACATTATGGTAACTACAATGCAAGAGCATATAATGTGCTAACTGCCAAGTATGTCACCAGTAATGAGCACTATGAACAACTATGCTACAGCTTAATTCCAGATTCTTTGTGAATCCAAGGGAAATGATGGACGGTAACTAAAACCTGAACATACCTTCCTGCTCGACAGACCTTGGCGTCGTCACAAATTAAGAAGCTCTTCCTTGCAGGAGAAATCTTTATTGTGCTTACAAAGCTGGAAGAAATGACAATGCATTAGTCACAAAGTATTTTGTTTGCGCCAAGGGAGATATATTGTTCCTAATACAACCTAAGATAGCGAGAAAATTCCGAATGATGACAGACCTGCCTCGAAATGGCTTAGATATGATCCATGTAGGCGACCTCCTTGTGCATTTGCGAATCTGAAACCATCAGAATAATCTCATGGATCCTCACAAAAAAACTAGACCTAATGACTTGGGGCTGTTGAGGTTGTCATTGAAGCTTAACCATCATGGAGATCCTGAACCATCATGGAGTCATGGGTGTGGCTGATCTTCAACTTGAGGTACCCATCAGATCTAAAGAACAGCCACCATACCTGGCTTGTGATGGTAAGGAAAACTGCTCATTTCTGCATCGACATAGCTACCCAGGAGCAAAACCAAATTAAGGGCAACGAACCTGACCTGTAATCGATGTAGATCTGGAACTCCTCCTTGTGCGCTTGCTTCAGGATCTGAAATCACCAGAGCAGAGTCATGGCTTGGTGAGAGCAGAGAATGCAAGCCAGTCTTTGTTGTTGAAGAGGCAGCCAGCTGAAGCTCCAAGTCAAGTCAATGCAAGCTAGCAAGCTCAATTATTTTCCGGCTCTGCGCCCGTGTGTGCCCGTGGCCCCAAGCATTAAGGCCCTGTTTGGTTCGGCTGTGGATTTCTAAAAGTAGCTGTGAAAAATCTGCTGTGAAAAAACAACTGTGGAAAATCTGATGTGAAAAAGATGTAGGTCATTTGGCAAACCAGCTGATACAACTTTTTCAGATTTTGGCCCGCAGCGGAATAAGATTTTGGAAAGCACGTCCTGGGCTGCTTCTGCTTTTAGTTCAGATTTTGGCAGCGGATTTCTGGAATAGGATTCTGCTGGGTTCGCCCTTTGGTTCAGATTCTGCTGCGCGGCAGCGGAATCCATTGATAAAAGCTGAACCAAACAGGGCCTAAAGGTGCTGCTTCATAGCACTGTGATGATAAAGGTCTCCATACTGTGGCACGGCATGCACACAGTGATACAGAGGCGAGGCACAGAGC